TGTTCTCGCATACCTGTATAGGAGCATGTGCCGGGCGAGCATGGGCCCAGCGGTGGACATATGTGGTTTTCTGCCCCTCCTACAGGTGACAACATTTTCGAATACTCTGTTCATTACTCTGAATTCTATATGGTCGAAATGACTCATAAATTTTACATCAACCTTTTATCTTAGGTTTGGGCCTGGCAGCGGATCATGCCGTTGCAACCACCTCTACCACCACTTGCGCCTGGTGAGGCTTATCCGTTTCTCCCTCTAGCTTCTAGGTGGATTCTCCGGCGTGGGAACTACCGAGGGAGCGATGCTCATCATAATCTCCCCCTTGTCAGGGATGTGTTAGATATGCTGGTGGACGGACAGGTAAATATGTACCTACACTTGTGAATTAGTAATTGAGTTGTGTTGCGCATACTCATTTTTATGTTATTATTTGGTAGTTCATCTAGACGCCATACAGCGACGAGTTGCTAGCTCAGCTGCCCGATATTTGCTCAGCCGACAGACTGCTTTGGAGCACCTCCGTCCCGATGATCTTCTTCGATATGGTTGAGTATTATGCCACAGAGCGTGTGCTTCGCCAGTTTCACCGTCCCCAGCCTATACCGGGGGAGCCTGGATGGGAGGCTACACACTATCAGCGGGACGACCGTGCCAGGGTGGACGTTATATATATGGAATGGCTAGAGCAACAGGTCCATACTTGGGAGGAGCGAGGTCACCGTATTCCGCCAGCACCTACATTTACCCAGGAGGCCACCATTCATCTGTATGCGTCATGGTACCGCCGTCACACCCGACGGATGATCGGGAACCCCATTTATGTGCTTGGCGATCGCTACAGACCATACGCCGGGAGGCACGAGGCACTGATATATTTTTGTGGCTTATTAATATTTTATAATTGTGATATAGCATTATTTAATTAATATTTTAAATGTTTCACAAGCTATTGGGCATCATCACCTCCGCCAGATGGGACAGGAGATGCAGCAGCATGCCGACAACCCTGCACTCGTTGCGTATGGCCGGCGGGTGGAACAGGTGGCTCGTCGGACCCTGCTTCAGGCGAGAGATACCGCGAGGTTGGACCACGAGGCTCAGTATGCGGCGCCAGAGGACTACCATCGGGGTAGGGGTGTCCCACGAGGCAGGGGTAGGGCACGAGGGAGGGGTGCCCCACCAGGCAGGGGTGCCCCACGGGGTCGCGGGGGTCGTGGGGGACGGCGAGGAGGTGGTCCCCAGCAAGGGGGCTATGAGGCACTTGTTGGACCACCTGTGGAGGGACATGATGGGGATTTTGGAGATGAGGCTCTTGGAGATGATCAGCCGGGTTATGGACCTCAGGTAGATGAGCCATCCAGTAGCATGCCGTCGTACAGCCTTCAGCTATCTCTTCCAGCATCGCAGGTCACCCTGTCAGGAGCATTGTCGATCACGGGTACATTCGACGGGGATGTAGACCAGTACTTTGCATGCCCATCTACCGCAGCTGAGGACCGGCCTACCCGGGACGTGGATGGCGGGCGCAGGTTGAGTTATGCCTCATCCCCAGCGGTTGATGCGGATCTACCACAGGCGCAGGTATGTTTGTATTACTTTAAAATTTCAATTTGTTTTCTTTTCCTTAATGAGCTGACATTAATTAATTTTTAACTTTCTTATGAAGGTTTCGTCCCAGCCCATCTTCGAGGCCACTACATGCTTTGATGAGGACACCGCGGATGCATATACACAGGCGGCGGACGAGACCACGGTGAGAAAATGTTTTTTTGACTCTACACGTACAATACAAATATTCTTTTTAGGTTTGCTAAGATTACTACTTGTGTTGTAGGTTGATGACGGCCCGACGGCCTATTCTTCCGATCCTGCCAGCTGTGGTGTCGATGCTGCTGCACATCCTCACATAAAGAGGCGGCTTGATGACGATGATCCAGATAATGTACCCGGGCGACAAAGGATGCGGCTTAGGCCGGCAGCAGCACTGAAGCACACAGGCTGCGGGACTCACTGATTTACTTGTGTTTTTACTTTGTGTAAATAGTACATTATGTAAATAATGGTAACAATTATCTTTTAACAAAAATTTTATTTTAATTGTTTGAACATCAATTTTACTTAAACAGTACAACACAAACACAAACCTTGCAAACCTAAAACGTAGTACTATACTGCGAATTAAGTATTAAATTTTTAACGACAAGACAACTCCATAAAACGTAGAACTATACTGCGAATTAATTATTAAATTTATCTGCAAGAAACCAGCTTTTTTCACATAATTTACATCCTTTTCAGAACGACAAGACAACTCAATAAAATGCAGTACTATACTGCGAATTCATGATTAAATTTTTCTGCAAGAAACCAGCTTTTTTCACATAATTTACATCTTTTTCAGAACGACAAGACAACTCAATAACACGCAGTACTATACTGCGAATTAATTATTAACTTTTTCTGCAAAACAGCAGCTTTTTTCACATGATTTTCATCTTTTTCAGAACGACAAGACAACTCAATAACACGCGGTACTATACTGCGAATTAATTAATTTGTCTCGCCTATAAATAACGGGCTCATTGTAGTTATTTTGTATGCTTAAAATTTACTAAAAGCTGATATTTCATTAAACACGCAAACACGTTTTAAAAAAAACAATACCAAAACAAAAAGAATTCAGCTTTTTCAGAACGACAAGACAACTCCATAAAACGTAGTACTGTATTGCGAATTAATTATTAACTTTTTCAGAATGACAAGACAACTCCATAAAACGCAGTACTATACTGCGAATTAATTATTAAATTTTTCTGCAAGAAAGCAGCTTTTTTCACATGGTTTTCATCTTTTTCAGAATGACAAGATAACTCCATAAAATGTAGTACTATACTGCGGATTAATTATTAAAATTTTCTGCAAGAAAGCAGCTTTTTTCACATGGTTTTCATCTTTTTCAGAACGACAAGACAACTCCATAAAATGCAGTACTATACTGCGAATTAATTATTTTGTCTCGCCTAAAAATAACGGGCTCATTGTAGTTATTTTGTATGCTCAAAATTTACTAAAAGCAGATATTTCATTAAAAGTAAGGTTTTTTTACTAAAAGAAAATATTTCATTATATGGCTCAACCTCTTCGTCCACCAAAGTGCAAGTGTGGAAAAGCATGCTTGATGCAAAGTTGTTGGGACGGTGGTGAAGCTGGACGCCGCTACTGGCACTGTATGAACCAGTTTTACAAGTACAAACACGCATTACAAAAAATAATACCAAAACAAAAGACTAGGGTTATCCTTGATAGTTGGGTACATTCGACGAACTTGCACCAGGAGCCAGATTACCACCGCTACGCACACCACCTGAAGGACATTTACGACGGCCGTCTCCTGTTTGCGAGCATATGCCATATTTACGCGCATAAACGGTGTCACCAACATCCATTTGGTTCCGTATACTCGTTCTCTTTTGCACTTGCAGCTTGCGCAAATAGTCCTTGTTACATACCATCTTAAAAGGTTCCGGCAGCCAATAATGCTCAGCACCTAATGGCTGCAACTTCCCACTATACGTGTCTACGTATGCAGCAACACTGTATTGCCTATCAATACAGTTTGTTGCCCCATATCCAACTTGTTGAAAGCACATCAACGCATGTGCGCAGACATGTGGTAGATGGTACATTTCCCACATGAACATAACCTTCTATTTTAATTCACCGTCTATAGATTATTCCCACGGTGTCCGCGGATAGCGGTCTTAACTTCAAAAATACCCCGTTCATGATCGTACTGAAGAAATGAATGCCACTGTGCTCGTCTCCTGGACCTTTCAAACTCTTCTCATGGGTATTGGCTATA